GGGGGAAGAGGGCCTTTTATAACCGCCTTGGTGCACTCATTCCCAAGCCTCTGCCAGATCAGGTGTAACCGCCTCTGCGGGGGGGCAGACACAACCGCCATTGTCTTCTCTGTCGGAGCCGTCTCTACAACGACTGAGATGGCGGTAGCAGGTGGCCGTTGGAGTGCGRCTRTCATGTGTCAGATCCCTGATCAGTCAGGCGCGCCGCCTCAGATTGCGGACTTCTTTGGTGTCAGGTACGGTCGTTCAGTCACGCGGCCTAGAGCCGAGGTGCCGGAGTGGTGCATGAGGTGAAGTCTTGAGTTCGGACAGGAGCGTGGCTTGGACTTATCCGAGGTGGGTTAGTCCGGGCTTTGCCTTTTGTGGTGTTCCTTGTAGAGCTCGGGATTTCTAAGGAAAGCTCGGGTTCTCTTTGGGGAGCTTGGGGCCTCTCCTTGGGGAGCTCGGGCCTCTTCTTGGGCTATGGCTATGTCGCTGTGCCGAGCTGACGCTCCTGCCAGGTCATACCCGGTTGCCTCCACGTGTTGCGCGGCCAAGGGGTCGGGCCAAATCCCCCTCGGGTCTTGACCTGGCGCGAGGAGTTCACGGGTTGACGGGTGGATTTGCCTCGTGGCGCGCTTCGTCCAGCTCGGTGATCCTCCGGTCTGACACGCCTATGCCTTTGGCTCGATTAGGGTTAGCTCGGCCCGACCAAGGGTCAACTCGGGTCGCGTACAGCTCACCCGTGGACGTCAAACGATTATTAGATTTCGGACGTCAAAAATTCGCGCTAAACTGATTTCACCTCGGGGGTCGTGCAGTTGGTTTTTCTGAGAGCCGTTGGATGGCTTTGATCTTGGTCGTTGATGCACGGGTATAGTAAATAGTGGGGGTCCTGGTCACTTTTCCCTCGCCATAGTCTTCAGCACTTGTTCTTTGAGCTCGCGTCCAAGGTCTTCAGCTCACGTCACTTTTCCTAGTTCGGTAGCTTTTCCTTGGTGAGTCCCCTTAGCTTTTCTTTCAATTCCTTTCCTTTCAATGTCTAGTTCGGGTAGCTTAGATAGTCTTCTAAGAGAGCCTGAGGTGGGGACCTCGGCTCGGGCTGCTTCTTTCGACAGCCTTCTGGATGAACCGGAGGTAGGGCCTTCAGTCCGGGTCACCTCTGGCAGCCTGGCATCCACTTCTCGTCGAGTTCGGATGCCAGATAAGTTCAGACCTTCCACTATGACGTCTGAGAGACTTCGGTCTCTTGTTCGTCAGTTCAATCTGCCCGGGGAGTACACCTATAGTTTACCTACGGGCGACTTCCCTTGAGAGCACGATCCGGATGAGATCGTGATTTTTTGGGAGCAGCTCGTCGCCGGGCTGCGCCTTCCTCTTCATTCCCTTATCGTCGAGGTCTTGAATCACTTTGGCGTCACCGTTGGTCAACTCCATCCGCAACGTTGTTGGGACCATCTCCCTCTGTTGTGAATATGTCCTCCCGCTAGACTTAGAAATCTTCTCCGCCCTCCTCACGCTTAAGAAGCATGCGAGCTTCCTCCCCGAGCACAGGCGGGCCTATTACTTGTCTCCCCGCCCGGGGTTTAAACTTCTACACGAGCTTCCAAGTAAGGTCCCAGCGTGGAAGCGGGACTACTTTGTGGTCCGAAGTGCTACGGGGTGGCCGTTCCCCACCCATTGGAGGGCGGCTATTCACGACCCCGGTGCCATGTTAGACAAGAACATGGCGGAGACCTTCCAGTCTTGGGTTCAGCTCGGGCTCGAGTGCAAAGATTACCTACGGAGGCTAAGCTTATCCAGGCCGGTCTGAGTCCGGGTAGGTTTCTTACTCAGATGATTTTTTTAATTTTTTTTACTGATACCGAGCTCCTTTCGCAGGTGTCATGGAGGAGGAGAAGACCCGTGGCGACAACCTGCTCGACGGGATGAAGAGGAGAAAGCGGGTTACTAAGCAGGCTCGCGTCGAGTCTCCTCGGGCTGTGGAGCCCGAAGTCCCAAGCCATCCTCTAGTCATCAACCTGGAGTTTCCCAGGGAGCTTGAGGTAGTCGGGCCTGATCCGAAGGTTGCGGCGGAGCCCGAGGTTGCAGAGGCTCGGGACGTCGACACTATGGAAGCTTCCCACACTCAGATGGTATTCTCCAGCTTGGGGAGCCAGGAGGGGTCAGTAGTGTGCTGACGCCGAGCTGTGCTTTCCGTAAGAGCAAAAAGTTTGTCTACCCTGGGGAGGTTTCGGAATGGGCTGACCTTCCTCCAGGTCACATCGGCGCACGCGCTGCGTCTCACGCCATGGTGGCAAGTCGAAGTGGTTTCCCTTGGTGTTTTTCCTATGCTTTATTATTCTCTTCTTGCTGGATTGACTTGTTCTTGCTTGGTAGGTAAACTCCTCCATCCATGCCCTAACCATTCAATCGGTGAAGCGGGCACAAGCTGCCGAAGAGGCTTCCCGTGCAGCGCATACCAAGCTAAGGATAGCTCGGGAGCGGATCCATCGTCTTGAGGGTGATACTTCGGCTCAGAAGAATGCCATCGAGACCTTGACGTCGGAGAAGGTCGCAATGGATCGCGAGTTGGAGAGGCTTCGGAGGGAGAACGGGGCCTTGAGGCTTGTTGTAAAGCATCTCGCGAACTCAAGGGGTCTTGGAGCACGAGGTGGAATACCTTAAGGCCAATATCAAGGAGAAGTCTGAGATCTTCCAAGCCATCGAGGACACTAAAGTGAAGGCCGTCGAAGATTATATCGCGTCGGAGCGCTTTGATGACCTGATGGTGGGCTCGTATCGGAGGGGTTTCAAGTTGAGCCGGTGGATGATAAGGCATATGTACCCCGGACTCGACACCCGTGCCATAACCTCCTCGCGCATTACTCCGGAGATGGCTCTCCAGGCTGACGACGACCCGGACTCTGACGATGAAGCAGACGCCTCGAGTGCTGCCGAAGTTCCTTCTGATGTCTTGGTCAAGGGAGGTGTGCCTCTGAAGTGATATGTACCGAGCCTGCGAGCTCGTTTTTCTTGTCTTTGTATTGAATCGATTGTAAATGAAATGTTGGTAATGAAATGCCTTTTTTTGGTTAAGTGTTGTGCACTGTCGTTCTTTCTTTTTGCCGAAGTGACTATATTGCCGAACTGTTAGAATTAGGTCCCCAAAGCGGGGGGGTTTCTCGAGGTGAGTTAACATAGTAAGGCTATACGCCCGAGCTCGGCGCTTTAGCCCTTGGGCTAGAATACTCTCCTAGGGTTTGCCCACGCCGAAGAAGCGACTGGGTCTTACGGTGCCGAGGTCCTTGTTAGCTCGGCATTTTGACCCTTAGGCTTTGGGAGCGATTTATAGTCCACTCAGTTCGGCAATTTACAGGTAATATCGCCTTAAGTTGACGATATTCCATTCCCGGGGTATTTGTTTTCCCTCCAGGGTTTCGAGCTCGTACGCTCCTCCGAGCGCTCTCTTTACTCGGTAGGGTCCTTCCCAGTTTGGTCCGAGTTTGCCAACGCTGAGCTCAGGTACCATGACCTT